GACATATCGTCTTCGCCGACGGCGAGAGTTTCCCCGCGGACTCCCTGGACGACAATGTTGCGCACCTGCAGTACATGCCGATCACGTTATGGTTGCAAGCGGACGGCGCTGAGTGGACGCTTCCAGCGTCAGACTTGCCCGCAGACTTGCCAACGTGCACTGACAGACAGGGACTCTTCCAGATGCGGCCCACCTACGGATACCTCCGCGCCACGTGGGAAGAGGAGAACTTTTCTGTCCGCCGGACAACGTACCGGTTACTTCCAGCGGATACCATTATAGTGCACGGCGCCCAAGGATCTGCACCCTCGGAATGGGGGCGGAACTTTGGCCACAATGCCGAACAGTAATGCCTGCTCACGCAAAACAATAGTTGCTGTGCGCTGGGGCCCACCGGACACCACTCTTTGTCGTTCGGACAACAGTTGCTGTCCTTCTGACAGAAGTTCTAGTCCGGCGAACCACTGCTGCCGCAATCCTCTAGCCCGCGTGCAAAGGCACTGTTGTTCGGCATTGTACCCAAAGAACCGTCCCCCACTACGGGCGTGCAACAAGGTGGCACGTACCCAGCAGTGGTGGCCGACATGAAAAAGCCACCGTCGATGGACGCCGACACGCACTGGCTCGCTTGCTACGTCATGCTGTCGCGGCCCGTCTCCGTGGAAGGCTTACTCATCTTGCGCCCAGCCACGAGGCGGGAATTGTCCCGACCGCCTCCGAAATTCATCCTCGACGAAATTACCCGCCTTGCTGACATGGAGACGGCGTCGCTGGACGAATTGATTCAGATCCTGCAAGATCTGAAGGGGGAACCGTTCCCGCCTGAGATCTTGGATTCAGTTCTTGCTCAGGACGGCGCCGCCCGGCAGTCCGCCGAGGTAGCCGAATATCGGAGAGCCGGGCCAGCGCTCCGCACAGTTTCTCGGCGCACGCGCGGCAAAACGACGCCACCTGCGCCCCTGTCGAGAGTTGGAGACACGGCGGGCGTGGGCGAGGATGCTGCAGCGCAGGCGACGCCACCGTCCTCGGCGCCCCCGCTGAAGAAGCCGCGGCTGCCAAACATGGAGACGGCGCGCGCGTCGACGCCGCCCACGGTGAACGCCTCCGAGTCGGAAAGAGCAATATGCGCGGCCGTTGGCCGCCAGTGCGCCGCCGGCGCGGGCGCGGCCCCCGCGGGGAGCACGGGCCCGCAGCCGCCCCAAGCGGCACAGCGCACCGCTGCAGCGCAGCGGAGGACGGCCCCGCTGGGAGAGCAGAGCGCCACAGCGTGCAAGCCAGACGCACACGCGGCAAGCAGCCCAAACAGTGCCGCTAACGCGAGGGAAGGTGCCGCAGATAACGACGACAACGGGAAGCGCAAGGCTGCCAGGCATTCATCCCCCCCGCGAGCGCCCTGCTCCGAGTGCGGAGAGGCTGGATGCACGCCACATTCCCCCACGTGCGCCTTCTTCTTGATCGCGCCACAGTGCGAGGCTACCTCCACTTTGCCGTGGGCTCGCGGGACCCCGTGTCCGGCATCGACGAACTTGCGCAACTACTGCGCGAAGTTCACGCGGCACGTAGCCACGGGACCCTTCGAAGTGGAAAGTGTGGAATACGGAGCTGGCGGAGATTGCCTCTACCACAGTGTCGCGGGCGCCCTCGCTCGCATGGTGCTCCACGGAGGTGGGCCGGCACGACACATTTTAAAGAGCATCCCATCCGCAGTGTTCTTCCAGGGCTCCAACGCCACAATGCAGCACTTGCGGGCCATCTCCGCCTCGATATACAGCCAGTGGGCCCCCGAGCAGGTGCTCGACTTCGTGGTCGCTGCAGCCATGCAACAGCGCAGCAACGCCCATCTCGACGAGTGGGACCCTGCAGCGTTGCTGTCCGACTTCTGCTTCGAATGCCTTTTGCACGCTGAAAGCGTCCTGGCGTTTGAAGAGCAAGATGATGGCGACGCGCTCGTTCGCATCGCGTACACCCAGGCGCACTCTGGAGCAGGCGCCAGAGAAGAGCGCATTACGAGAATACCTGGCGGAGTCGCCAACCTAGCCCAGGTTCGAGCCAGACTCTCCCACTTCATGCGTCAGCCAGGCAACGTTCATTGGGGTACTCAAACTGACGTGCGCAGTCTAAGCGACCGCTTGGATGTGGGAATCTTACTCTTTCAGGATCGCCTACGTGAGCGTGCCCGCACCTGCCTCTACAATGTGGGCGGCCAGCGAGCAGATTACCCATACTGGATCGCTTTATGGTGGGAGGAGCCGATCCATTTCCGTGGCGCGCAGCTGCGCCCACGCCCCCCAGAGTCAGATGCGCACAACAGCAACCGCCCGGACGCAACGTCCTTTTGGTCTACTGCCGATCTTCCAGCATTCCTTCGACAAGAATTCGCCGAGTGCAATCGTCTGGCGGATTGACTGACCTGATGCGGGCGGATTGACTGACCTAATGCGGGCGGATTGACTGACCCAATGCCCAGTCCATGTTTCACACCAGGCTGCTGCGACTTGCGTATCGTTCGATATGCGCCAGAGAAAGACCCCAAGAAGCTTTGAAAAAACTAAAAAAACACCCAGATGGCCCCAGAACGGCCCCCAAGAGTCCCAAAAGAACCCCAAGAGGCTCCAAAACGACCTCCACGAGGTTTGTGTTATCTCGAAGGGGCATACAAACAACATCTCCCGTCTTGGACTTCTCTTGGGGCCCTCTTGGGCCATCTTGGACCGATTTGAGCCGTCTTACGGCTCTCTCGAGCAACGACGGTCCACGTGCGACAACGACGACGACGAACGACGAACGATGACGCACGGCTGCAACGACGACGACGACGCCGACGGACGACAAACGGCGAACGACGAAAACGACGACGCCCAACGACGACGACGACGACGACGACGACGACGACGACGACACTGACGACGACGACATCGAACGTCGAACGACGATAATGACGACGAACGATTAACGACAACGACGAAACGTCGGACGACGACAACGACATCTCCGCCGGACGACGACAACGACAAACGATGAACGAGAAAAGACGAACGACGACGACAGAGAAGGGCGACAACTACGACGACGACAACGATGACGACAACGACGACGCCCGTCTTGATGTTTCTTGGAGGTTCTGAACGTGACGTTCCCTGGCAAGCCCTGTAGACAAAGTGGCGCTTCCCGTTCTTGTCCGGTCAGGTTTTGCATGCCGTCTGAGCCCGCAACGACCTCTTCAAGTCCCGCGCATCCACGCCAGCCCGCCCAGCAACTTTGCCCTGGCGAGTGCCTTGATCAGAGAAGTCGGGGAGCATAAAGTGGAAAAAAGGATTGCGTTGCCGATATCTTGGGAAAGGAGGGGGAGGCAGGAGGAGTAAAAAGGGGACGAGGAGGACGCGGAAGAAGAGAGGATGTAAGGAGAATGTTGAGAAAGAGGAGGAGGAGGATGAGGAGGAGGAGGAGGAGGAGGAGGAGGAGGAGGGGGGGGAGGGGGAGGAGGGGACGAGGAGGGGGAGAAGAGGGAGGAGGGGAGAAGGGGGAGGAGGATGATGATGGACGACAATGGGAGGACGATGAAGGAGGCCGATGAGGGGGAGGACGACAATGGGAGGACGATGATGGAAGGACGAGGGGGGGAGAGGGAGGACGAGGAAGAAGAGGGAGGAGGGAGGAGGAGAGGATGACGATGAGGAAAAGGACGAGGACGAGGACGAGGATGATGACGATGACGATGACGATGAGGACGAGGACGAGGAGGAGGAGGAGGAGGAGGAGGAGGAGGAGAACGCCATCGACAGGGAAGGTGGGGGCCACGAGGTCCGCCGGCTCGACGACGCCCGCGTCGCCCGCGCCCGCCCCCTCACTGTTATCCGCAATTGCGGGGTGCTACGTATATATATATATATATATATGTTGGCAGCGCAAGAATTCCGCGCAATGCATGTGAATGCACGTGTACGTGTACCGCCGCATGGAGGAAGGAAAAAGTCGAGCGAGGGCGAGGAGGACAACGAGGATGCAGAGCGTCGACCGAGAAACAGCGAGGGGAGAACGACGCGGAGGCAGAGCGTCGAACGAGAAACAGCGAGGGGAGAACGGCGCGGAGGCAGAGCGTCGAACGAGAAACAGCGAGGGGAGGACGACGCGTAGGCAGAGCATGGAACGAGAAACAGCGAGGGGGGGACGACGGGGAGGCAGAGGTCGGGCGAGAAACGGCGAGGAGGCGGAGGAATATGCCCAGTGTAAGAGTGCTGGGGACACCTGCTGGGATTGGGACAGCCAGGCGCTCCTTCGAGCCCGCCTGCCCTGGGCGCCTGGCGCCCAGAGAGCATTTCGCAGGTCGGCCTCCAGGACGTCGGGGCTGCAGCCGACGACGACGACGACGACGACGACGACGACGACGACGACGACGACGACGACGACGAGGCTTAAAAAACGAGGCTTGAGGAGCGACGCCTCCTCCGACACCAGTGCGGTTTGGAAGGGCGTCCGCCCAGAAGGCGCCACTGCGACGCATAATTACGCGCACGCTGCTCCTCCTCCGCAGCGCTGCGTCAGCAGCCCGTCGAAAGCTACTGGGTGGGACACACGAGCCGAGTCCGCACTCGAGCGCCATTCGGACGCGCTCCAACTCTGGCCGCGTAACCATGGGTGGGCACATGCGTACGCACACGAGCATGCGCCCGCGGGCCTGAATTCTCGATGTCGGCACCGTTCGCGGAGGCGAGAGCGGGGAGCACAAGGGCGTGGGGCCCCTGCGAGGCCCCAGGCCTGGCCGAGACTGGCGCGCTCCCCCAACACGCCTACCACAGCACCCGTCTTGCGTGACTCCACTCGGCCGAAATCTCGGCCGGCGTTGCGACGTGCACGCGCGTACCTGCTTGGCGGCGCGTGGGACGCGCGCCGGACGCTTCAGGGACACTGCTTGCACATGCACGCGAGCGTCGCGGCCTCGTGCACACGCATTGGCCCAGGCCCGCCCCTCCAGCCTGGCGGGGACAAGCGGAAGGGGGCGCCTGCTGACGAAGCAGCACGATTGCAGCATCCTCGGGAGCAGGATGAACAGAGGCCTCCACGCCCCGTCTGCCATTGCTTGCTCGCCTCCTCCTCCTCCTCCTCCTCCTCCTCCTCATCATCATCCTCCTCCTGCTGCTCCTGCTCCTGCTCCTGCTCCTGCTCCTGCTCCTCCTCCTCCTCCTCCTCCTCCTCCTCCTCCTCCTCCTCCTCCTGCTCCTGCTCCTGCTCCTGCTCCTGCTCCTCCTCCTCCTCCTCCTCCTCCTCCTCCTCCTCCTCCTCCTCCTCCTCTGCGCGAAGCGGCAAGTCGAAGGTCGAGCCCGACGCCATCAGCTGCATCCGACGAGATGTGGGAAGCTGGATGCGAAGATGGAGCCCAAGAAGTATCTAGCAAAGCCTTCAGCCACTACCATGCGAGAAGCGGGAGGCGAAGCTGGAGCCCAACTCAAACTTCGACACCCTGCTGCGAGAAGTGGGAAGCGAAGGTAGAGCCCGATGTCGCTACTCCGGGGATGGGGAAGGTGAAGATGGAGCCCGATGTCCTGACACGTCTACCCCTAGCGATACTCTGCGAGAAGCGAGAGGCACATCTCACCTGCTCTAATGTTGTTGGGGCCAGCACGTGCGAGAAGGCAGTCATCAGCTACAACGCTGGGATCCGCTCGCGCGCGACATGGCAATGGGTGCAAGGCTTGCGCGGCAGGCCGAGGGGATAGCTGGGGGCCCACGTCGTAAGCTATCTGTCGAGAAGGGCTCAGTTTCGCACCCGCCTTAAGAAGGGCCCTACAAGCTGACCTTCGTCGCCCAGGGACGGCTTGGGGTAGGGGACGCGTGTAGAAGATGAGGGCAGCAGAATCCTCGTAGCTGAATCCTCCTCCTCCTCCTCCTCCTCCTCCTCCTCCTCCTCCTCCTCCTCCTCCTCCTCCTCCTCCTCCTCCTCCCGAGACCTCGGGTGCGCGGGGGGGCGCGCGGGCTGGGACCCCCCCCCAAGCACACCACGGAGCAGCACCGCTCCGCCCTTCCTCAACACTCCACCGCCCCCCCTCGGCGCACCACCGCTCCGTCCTTCCTCCACCCTCCGCCGACCCCCCCCCCGGCACACCGCGGCGCACCACCGCTCCGTCCTTCCTCCACCCTCCGCCGACTACCCCGGGCACACCACGGCGCACCACCGCTCCGTCCTTCCTCTGACATGCAGGAAACGGGTCCTGGACCCCAGGAGGGCTTTCCCCAGCACCAGCTCGTCGACCTGACTTGGCCGCTGCCAGTCCCGGGGCCCGTGGGAGGCCCCAGAAGCTCGAAAACGGCACAAAGACCTCGGGACCGGTTTCCCTCGGGCCCCGTCGCCCTTCAGGGCGACTCCTCCACCCTCCGCCGCCCCCCCCGCACACCACGGCGCAGCACCGCTCCGTCCTTCCTCAACACTCCACCGCCCCCCCTCGGCGCACCACCGCTGCGTCCTCCGGGGAGGCCCCAGGAGCTCGAAAACGGCACAAAGACCTCGGGACCCGTTTCCCTCGGGCCCCGTCGCCCTTCAGGGCGACTCCTCCACCCTCCACCGCCCGGAGAAGCAGGAGGAGAAGGAGCAGGAGAAGGAGGAGGAGAAAGAGGAGGAGGAGGAGGAGGAGGAGGAGGAGCAGGAGGAGGAGAAGGAGGAGGAGGAGGAGGAGGAGGAGTCCCCCCCCCCCCGCACACCACGGCGGGCAGAGCCACAGGATCCCCTTCAGCAGCAGCAGCAGCTGCAGCCGCAGGTGCAGCTGTTGTTGCTGCTCGCTCGCCTCGGCCGCAGACCGCCCGCGCCGCGCGGGGAGGAGGAGGAGGAGGAGGAGGAGGAGGAGGAGGAGGAGGAGGAGGAGGAGGATTTTTTTTGAGCTCAACGCCCGCACAGCCTCTCACTGTCAGCAGCGACGGCTGGGAAATCGCTGCTGCATCCACCATGCCACTGAGGCAAGGAGGTAAAGCCACGAAGGTGGCAGGATAATATTAGTCAGAAGAACCCGACTCAGCATCCAGGTCCCTCCTTCCCTCACTGCCGCTCCGAGCGGCTTCAAGAAGGCGGAGGGACTTAGAAGCGACGCTGAGCTCTCGGGCCTGACGGGCCTGACGGACCTCCTCCTCCGAGGGGGGGGGAGGCTCGACCGAGGAAGCAGGGACCGCCTCCTCCTCCACCGAATGGTTCCCAGCTGGGGCCACCACGGCCCTGCTGCACGAGGAAGGCTCCTCGGCCTGAGAACCAAACAGAGCACAGATCTGGTGAGTGTTCACCGTCACATCCCGCTTCCTGGGGTTCGGATGTATTCCTCGGCAGAGGTCCCTCCAAGAATACTCAGCATGCCTGGAGGGCCGATCGTTACAAAACTTCCCGAGGCCGTCCACACGTGCACCTGTGCTGTGGTAGCGGCATTTCACGCAAACAAAAAGGTGCGAACCGTCACTGCAGGAGAAAGCCAAAACACGATGTCGCAGTGAAACAAGCACACCTTCATCAAGCTTGCACCTGCCCGTGCATATACCAGGATCAGGGACACCAGACGCCCTGGAACCCAGCAAACAAACACGACAACGCCACACACCAGACCAGGGGGCCCAGTCGTGTCCAGGCTTGTCCCAGGAAAACCTGGGCTTGGGGGCAGGCGGAATGTATTCGGCATCAGATAAGTCTAGACGGGGCCACTCTAAAAGAAGCTTGGCCCCCAGTCGACACACTGATTTGGCAATGTCAATCCTCTTGCTGAGATCTTCACTGCCATTAACATCAGTCGCATGAAACGAAAGCGCAGCTTTGGCCGCCGCGTCTGCATCGTTATTGCATTTGCGACAAAACCGTTCAAACTGGTCGATGCCAGCTTCATCTAAATCTTTGTGAGCAGCGACCTTGACAATAGCCTTAATGCACGTGCCTTCTCGAGCATTGGCTTCCATGATTATGTCACTGTACACCCTCTTACCCGAGAGGCGCTCGACAGGAGGCAACTTAGAATGCTTAACCACATTCAAGCAATATGAGAACAGGGTGGAAGGGTACTTGGCCATATTACCAGCCATGCCACGAGCTAAATATTATCCAGCCTGCGGGGTCTGAGGGCATTGAGCCCACACAGGCCCCATAACCTCCCCTAAAAGGTCCCCACTGTCGTTGTGCATCGTGATGGCCCACGACGCACGGCTAAGTTCACGAATTATGTGCCGCCTGCAAGACCCGTCGAGAAACAGCGAACCCCAGACAGCACCTTCCTGGGGAGCCTCGAAACCTTCGGGGCCCTCAAGCAGATCACGATGCCAGCGGAACACCACATTACCTTCGAGGCAGGGCCTCGGAAGGGCATCGGCGGGATGGGCGAAAGCCCCGAAGCAGAAAAGGAGGTCCGAGTAGTCCTCAGCCTCAGTGTCTAGGGCCGCAGCAATGATCCAGTCCTCAGCAAGCTCCGCTCTCTGATCGCACACATGTGGGCATACCCACAGACGGTGGTGCAGCGAATCTGCCGCACCGCAATGGACGCACTTAGAACAAACATGATATCCACAGGCAATGGCACGATCAGGAGTCCAGATGGCGTTACACGCCAGAGCTCGCACCATGCCTTTTTCACTGGCAGAAAGCTTGCTAGACGCAAGAGCGGCTCGGGGGACATCCAAGCAGAGGCGGCCTCCAGACGACCATTTGCAACCCAAATCCCTTTCCAGAGCTCTGATCATACCTTCCCGACAAAAATACACAAAGGAGCAGGGGAGGTCACTCTGAGGGGGATGTGGTACCCTCTGTCATCAATAATGGTCATGAAGTTGTCCATATGCCACCCTAACCTGACCAGGCTAAGCCTAAGGGCAGAAACAGGACCCCCAACAAGACCCCAACTGATCCTGCTAAGGCCCCAGACGGCATTCCAAGAATCTCTCAGCTCCTTGAGGGCCAGGGAGTGCGGGAAGACCTTAGTCTGAGCAAGCCATATTTCTTTTCCCCACCTAAGCACAGGCGCGCAAGCCGCCCTCCAGGTGGGATCTCCAGCTAAAATACAGCAGGCAGCGAGACTCCTGCCCTGAGAAAACGGCCGCACAGTCGAGAAGGCTTGTCTCCGCATCGATAACAGGTCGTGGTCGGAAACACCCACAGTGTCGGCCCCGTAGGAGCCGCCCGCAAGAGGGCCCGAGGAAAACACCCGAAGAGTTTTTCTCCCAAGGTCACCTGAAAGCCTCTTGAGCCTCTTAGCCCGACGGCACATAGTAGCCAGCCTCGACTTGAGCTTGCTAGCCCGACCAGAGGCACGAATGGACTTGCCCGCCGTGTAGTCCACACCTAAGTTGACAGTAACATCCTCGATCCTGCCTGCCAGACTGCCAAGCTGCTTGCCAACCTCTCTGGCCACCGCCCTATTAGAGGAGACCGTGCACACTTTGGACAGGGCGATACTGCAGCCAAGCATGTCGGTCACAGCCGTGTGCAAGGCCTGCGAGCTGGAGACAATAGAGGCAATAACACGGTGACGAGGGCCCGTCGCAGAAATCCCCGAACCATCGATGTAAATGTCCAGGTCACATCTGGGGGACAAGGGAATCGAGTCGAACGCGTCGAGGGCAAAGACCCTGATGAGGGTGGTGGCGAAGCTGCAGCCCGCCACCACCCCTCGTTCAACAAAAAAAGGGGCCCGTGAGGATGCCACCCAGGAAAAGGAAACGGCCACACCGAAAGGCAAATATGCAAAGGCGAGCAATCGGGAAGGGAAAACCGTGTCTCTGACATTGGGACATCAACTTGACAAGGTCAATGGTCTCGTAATACTTAAGCATATCATAGAACACACTGCACGAAACCTCTTTCGACGCTGTGCCATGCTCAGCCCGAACAGACTGCCTCCAAACGACGTCAGCAGCACCTCGATGCCCACCAGCAGCCCAGTACCTACGGGGGTGTTCTTGCTCCCAGGCGAGGGCGAAGGGGCGCCGCAGCTTCCCCCACACCCTGTACCAGGAGCAAAACACCCCTATAGGCCTGTAGCCGCCAGTGGGCGTCGAGAGAAGCGCGAGCAGCACGGCAGAAATCTGCTCGGGCAATTCACCGAGCGCTTCCATAACTTCAAACAAGACGGCGAGCGAGTTCAACGCATCATCACACAAGTACTGAAAGTGACGACAACTGAAGCCATCATAGGCAACCGCTGAACCCCTCTTGTATTTCTTGGAGACTTCCCTGATTTCGTCGGCCGAAACTCTCGGCAGAGTCGGACCAAGAGATGGGGGGGGGGCCCTAGAGGCCCCAGAGCCCTGGCCCCAAAAGGCGGCAAACTTGAAACCTTCCGAAGCCAAAAGCGCCAGGGGATCAGACACGATGGTGCCATCAGCTGAAAGGGTGGTGGTGGCCTTCCAAGGGGACGGGTCCCTGGTAAACATGTGAACTCTTTTCGCTCCCTCATCCAGGCCAGCGCGAATCCAAGCTTGCCAACTTTGACGGGATCTCTTCTTGGCAGCAGACTGAGCATTGCTGACCGCAACGTCAATTTTGTCCCGAAGAGCCACGTCGTAACACCTACCCCCAAAGAGATCCCGACAAGGCTTGGCGACAGCACGGGCAACCTCATCAAAGAGAGGCCGAAGAGCAGCAGAAACCTCAAAATGGTGCGGAGGCTCCTGTAGCAGCGTCGTCAGCGACTTCGCCTGAGGAGTATCGCCTTGGTTCGAATCCAGGAGCGAAGCTAGGGCCCGATATTGGACGCTGAGCCACCGCACAGCATGATGTTCAGGATCCCGAATAGCATGATCACGACCGACAAGCTTCTTCCAAACAAGCTGAGGGCCCTTGGATCTCGAACCAAGACAGGGGACAGACTGTCCCAAAATCGGCACAAGCTCAGCCTCGGCTTTGTCAGCCCAGGCAGCATAGCAAGGCGAAAGAAGCGACGATGCGCCCCTAGCGTCACCAACAGCAACACAATGGGAGGCCTGGTCAGCAAGCTCACGCACAAGACTCCAGTCAGGGGGTGCAGGACGCGGTCCTATCACAGCCGTGGCAGGGAGAGGAGGGGGCTTCCTGAAGCTGAGACCTTTCAACTTGCCGAACGAAGCATGCAACGCAACTTGCACCGGCCTGTGGGGGCTCAAGGTAGTGTCCTGAACGACCTCACAGCTCTTGACCGTTTTACCAAGACCCCCCGAAAACACAAAGTGGTCCAGGGAAGACGGAGGGCCCTCGCCAAAATGAGTGTGCCCCTCGGCCACCACAGGCAGCCCCACCAACTTCTCAGCGAACTTCGAACTGGCTAAAGTGCCTGGATCCATGTTGTAATCCCCTCCAATACAAAACGGAAGAGAAAGGGACGACATACGTTCCCCAATAGTGGCCAGGAGATCGACATTACGCTCAGACAACCCTTCAGAGTGATGGAGATAAACCGAGCAGAGAGCGAAACGATCACCTCGCGGGAGGTGCACTATGCCAGCAGTCGCCCTGCCAACAGCAACCACCGCCCCCCCCAGGGGGCTCATGAAGGCCGAGAAAGTCTCTGACAAGGATGCAAGTGCCAGCAGACGTGGAACCAGAAGCGGTACCGTGGGCCGCGGTAAAGATGCCTTTCCACCCTTGGCGAGCACACCACGCCGAGGCTTGTGAGAGATCTTCCTCCTCTCGCATCCTGTGCTCCTGACACAAGATAATGTGCGCAGGAGTCTTGGCCATGAGCTCCTTCATGGTCGACCATCGGTTGCAATTCACCGTGTGGATGCAAATATCAAGACTGTCCAGAAGGGCCGAGCAGTGGCCTCCAGAGGCCTCAGGGGAACCCGAGGC